ACAGATAATTTTCGACTGCACAAAATTCATTAGTGAAGGGAGAGGCGCGCAATGCATTAAGGGTGAAACTAGGCCTTTAAGACCTGAACATGCTTGTACATGCCATTCTCTCTCATAGCACCAAACTTGTTATACTCGGCATAAGTAGTATTCCCTTCAAAGTCTTTCAAGTCCACACGCAGCATGCTGTTATCATCTGAGGTCAGGTGGTGAATTTTGTCCAGTCCGAGCCAAGATTCACCATTCAGATCACCGAAACTAACTTTATTATCACACCATTTAAACGTAGAAATCCACTGAACCTGTCAGTCTCTTCTGGAACACTGTCCACCCTCTCCGGCTGTTGTTTGGTCACATCAAAGGCAGGCAAATTGTCAGGTTTGATGGTGTACACACCATCTTTCCTTTCACCGGATTTGTAGATTTCAGCGCAGTTCTTGAAAACTAAAGAAAGAATAAACAATCTAGTTTGAAAAGCATACTGGTCTGTTCCTGGGAGGCTACACTCTTCTTTTTTGATAACGAATATATATTTCTCATGCCCATGGTTGATATTCATATTTTTCTACCGACCTATATAATAGTATAATATTCTCAGTTTCGTCAGCTTATTTCTGAAGATTTTGTTTCTAATTTCATCGTTTTCTTTCTGAAAGGAAGAGATGTTATAATTTTGAGTGTTTTAAATAAATGGCATCAGCAAGATTCTACCTGTGGTGGTTGTTTGTATAATTTCGCCATTGGAGTAATTTCTTGCGGGAACGTTTTTTTCGGATTGTGGAAATCAACGCAAAAATGGCAAAAATTAGAACCCGCAAAAAATTTCGCGCCATACTGCAAAACCCAAGATATATTGTAAACAGCCCAGATCTGAGAGGAAAGCTATTTTTGATAAACCTTAAAGTCCATGTCACAATAAACCAAAAGCGCCGTTCCATTCGCAGTTGGATCCAGCCAGTACTTGCTGCTAATGTTGTCTTTACTTCGCTCGCCTTTATTTTCAGACACGAATGCGCTGGGAGCTCCGGAATGGAACCTACAGGAGTTTGGATCAGAAAAAACGAAATAATGAAAAAGAAATAATTTACTAATTATGCTGCGGTTTCCATTATAATATTAGAGTATTTCTCTCGAACGAGGGTGGACTATGGGTTGATAGTTGCCTGCGAAATTATCATGTTATATAAAGGGGAGAAACCCACGCACACACATAGTCCTTTTTGCGCCTAAGTAGCACATAAGGCCGTATAAAACAAATAGAAATCCCAGTAACTTTTATCAATTCATCCAGTTAAGATTTGGAAACAAAATAAGTATCCTGGTTAGGGAACTTTACTTCATGAAATTTACAAGAATGTTGAAAGTGGAGTAAGTTAGAATTTTACGGGAGTTAAGATTCTTTCCAGTTGAAAAAGCTTTCAAGGACCGTTAACGAACGAACCCTCGGGAAAACCAAATTTACTAGCCCGAGGGAATTTTAGGAATTAATAGAGAGTTTGAGCACAGGCGTTTTAAAACCAAGGAAGACAACCGGAAGTTCACGTTCTCGGTTTTTACGCGTTTTTAACCCCCACCCCGTCCCCACGAGCTAATGAGTTGAAAAAGCTCTTAGGGTTTTAAAGCATTTACAACTTGACATTTTCAGCGAAACGTCGATAAAGCGCTCAATAGAAGAGAAAACTGGGCTTCTGGTCGACGTCCAAGTGTTTTTATAGATACGCCTGTCGCTCAAGCGTCTTTTGTAAAACCGTGCCGGGTCTGAGCGGAAATTTTCTGGTCTTGCCTCCT